GGGTGAGCCCTGCAAACTGGTCACCCGTGAGGTAGGGTTTCTCAATGAATGGGCCGAACGTGTGTCCGATGCCAAACATAAAGCCCGCCAAATGAAGTATAGGTGCGCTCGACTCCTGCCACATGTCGATCAGCCAAACGTACTTCACGTTCACGTATACACCGGAGCCGAACCCAAACGCCCAGAAACAGGCGTACAGTTGGGGTATGTGTGCCGAGTATGGGATTGTTATGACAGCCGCCGACATTAGCACCAGTGCCAACATCATTGTCCACCGTTTGTTTAGGTGTTGTATAAATAGGCCGCCTAGGAATTGCCAGGGTTATTTATTTTTATTTAATTACTTAATTTATATTTATTAATGTTTTATTTGAAATAGAATTTTTAGTGTGTTTATTTGTATCTAGTTATTTGTAGGATTAATTCTAGTTTAATCGTGTTGTTTTCTGTTTTGTTGTGGTCTTATATATTAGGCTTACAAAGTGAGCCAACCATATATCCAAAGCTCATTAACGTCGGGACGAGTGATATCTCATTCATCGATGTTTTGAATATGTGTTTCAGGTCTACGAATGAGGGCCCAAATGTCGAACAGCTGTAACCCTAATGCAATTGACAATTTATAGTTTAATTAATTTATTAATGTAAAATGTTTATTAATTATTTTTAATACATTTTATTTAGTTTAATAAATAAAATAATATAATTAATATATTTAATTTAAAATATTAACCAGCATAAATATTGGTATAATAGCAGTAATAAATATTCTTATACTTGTGAGTTCATTAGCATTACGTAAAATAACAACATAAAGTTATATGGCCATATGCCAAAAACACAGAAAATATTAAAAATTAGAAGTTTATAATATTAATTAACTACCCTTATTTTAATCTTATAATTGCATATAACAAGTAATTTGTTGTCTATGAATGAACTATGAGTCATTTCACTATAAATGCCTGCACACATATACTTTCTTATAACAATAGTTAATTAGATTTACAAATAATACTAAGCGACCTTGCTGTTTAATAGCATATTGAAATAGTATATGACGTTGCATAAAGTGTGTGATGTGCACATACTGTATAATTCTGTACACATCTTCAAATTAATTATCACATGTTATTTCTTGTACTACACACCGGATTTGATTAATTGGCAATATGGCTATTTAATTTACAATACAATATCTAAATTTTATATACATTAATTTACATTTAAGTAATGTTATTTAAAAATTACATTGTTAAAATAAAACTTACATATGACATCTGTATGAAACAGATAATACACGTGTATAAAACTCTGTCGCTTATGTGTTTGCGGTGTATATTAAATAATATACGACCAGTTTTTCGTAGGCCTTTTAAGCAGCGCTTGAACTTATTGATAAACATTATAATTTGTTAAACTAATAAATAAATAATAGATATAACTTTTTGTAAACTACACACACAAAAACGGTCTAGTTGTTTACATATTAAAAATATATACAAAAATTATAATAATATAATTATATACACATTAATAGTCGAAATGAATGTAACGTTAAATACACAGCAAAAAAAACGTTTGATTACATATTTATCACACATTCAATGCATAGTATGTATGGTTTTTGTAGCGCTTATTATCATTGAATAGTAGCGATAAAATACACTAATTTCAAGGCTTTTTGGTATTAATTATGTTTTACTTTCACTATTCAATAGCATATTGTGAGGGATATAACAGAATATGGGATTTTTGTACGCGTTTTCAGTTTATTTCCTTTGGAGGTAACTTTTTATATATTAACTTATACTTGATGTACATTAATAATGTATAGCACTATTCACATGATTAAAGTTAGTCGAGTTTGTAGTGTTGTTTAATTGTTAATAACTTGTAATTTTTAATGCACACAACATTAACAAGGTTTAAATTAACACAGTTAATTAATATACTTATTATTAGAATTAATAATGCAACTTTGTCAAAAATGTTTTTTGAAGTACAATTTTTACTTTCCTTATATACTAAAAATATAATACAGATTATGTTTGTAGATAAACGTGCCAAACATCTGTTTATACAGTGAAGTCGGGGTAAAACCGAATTCATACCCCCACACCCCTCTATTGCCACTCTATGGCCCCTACGCTGATGTTTCGCTGTCAAACACCGTACAGTACACACTCTATACACTATACATTAA